TCAGAAACTCATGCAGTCTCTCATATGGACTCCTCTGTGGCCTTGGTCAAACTATATTATCCCTCGAATTCATTTTCCCTATAAATAGAAAGTTGCTTCTAAAATTTAGTTGTGTTGTGATTCACTTGCAAAACACTTTGAAGATGTAAAGTGCTATGAGCATGCTATGCAATTATTAGCTTTTAGATTACCAATAATTTAAGCAAAACTCACTTAGAGAGAAATGGCCATGGTTATTTTAACTTTACTGCAGCTGTACATTTTGAGTCACATAACCCAGACCGTTCATTTCACATTAGCTTTTCAGGAGAAGCAAAGATGACCAATTTATAATGAACTAAATCAGGCAGATCCCTAATGAAGTGAAAGATGCATTGTTTCGGTACCAGATAATTCTGCTTGCTATGTTGCCCAACTCTGTGGCACCAGGTTTTGGAAACTCTGCAGTTCCCCCTACACTTCATGATCTGTGTTGAAACCAAATGTGGAGAACACCTTTCTCATTAAATAACAGACACAGGTCTAACCAGCTGCATACCCATACTGGCCTCCCGTCAGACATGCCCGGGGGCTGATTACAAAGAACCCCTCAAAGTCTCACAGGCTCCTCTTGCTAATTAATAATGGAGGAGTGGGAGAGATGCCAACAACATAAAGTACCAAACTAAGATATGTGGAGCGGAATTAAATTCTGCCCAAGCACCTTCATCCCCAGTATTGCCTCAACACTGAATATGTTAAGCAAATTTATTACAGTTTCAACACTTTTTCTGACTTGCACAATAAGAGATTCATCATGAAGTCACCTAACTTCAGCTATCTGACCTAGTCATAACAGGCTTCCTCTACAGGCAGTGGGAAATACAGGAACTTTCAGGCAATGATTCACCTGACCAGTTTTAAATATATACTTCAGGAGGAGAATCAGAGACACATCAGAGAAATGTCTATCTTTCTTCTTGGATCTGAAAGGGGCAATGAGTTCAGATGTAGGTGCTGTCATTATAAAACTCAAGATATGGTCAGATGAATCCCAGTCCTAACCTTTTCTCAGTGTTTTGACGGAAGGACTCAGCCCTACTGGTGGGAAGAGAGGAGCTCCTGCCATCACCTAGCAACTGAAAAGGTTGCTGTCTCCTTTTCCTGCTGTGTCCAGCTGTTCTTATCTCTGCTGCTGTATACCATAAGCCCAACATCCAATACACTATGAAACTGATTTCAAAGGAAAAACAAGCCCACAAACACAAGATTTGTCAAGAATTATCAGAGCATCCTACTCCACAATACAAAGTACCCATTTTCTGTTTGTTTTTTACTAAAGCTTACCAGAAAAAAAATCAAGAAAACAATCCAAAGAGCTATTTATGTTCATGTCACTCACAACCATATACTTATTGAACATATAATCCCTTTCTCTGATTGTGAAAATACAGTGCTAGCTTACAATTAAAAAAGGATTGAGACATGAAGTTATTGATTTTTCCGATCCTTAGACTACTTATCTCATCTTATATAGTCAGAAAAACTAAAGTGCCATTTACTTGCAAGTTCCCCCAAAGCCTTAGGCTTACTTTCAGGTTTTTCAGGATGACTTTTTAGAACTAAATCTGCTTTCATATAAATGCATTTGCTGACATACATCATAATAAGTATGAACTCTGCACCTCCAGAATGGCTTTAGTGGCAATAATATTTAATTATTTTTTTTTTACACATAAATATGAAATCACCTAGAAATACTGCAAAGTTTCTTGAGGAAAAGTGGCTCTTTTAAGTGGAGAGCCTCTTCCTGAAATCTCTTTCATATTCAGTTATTTACAATAACTGTCAGCAAAATCCTTGCCTCATTGAAAGTCAGTGCCAAAACTTGAACCGATTTCAGTATGCCCAGGATTTCTTTTCATTGTTCTATGAATTTATCTGATTTTCCTGAGGAACTTTGAAACCTTTTGCCAATTTAAACCAAATATGATGGAGTGCTTATGGAATATCAGAGAGGTATGCATCCCAAAGGTTTCATGAAAATCAGTCATAGGGTACGAAGAAAAACTCAAATTAGGTCCCACCTCTGGCACCATGTTGGCATGTCTGTCTGGTCAAGCAGCGCACACATCACTTGGAACCAGGCACAGCATGTGCCATCTCCTTCAGAGCCAGGGGTATGGAACAAAATCATAGGGAATTAGGCTTTTTTTGGCAAACAACCTGCTCCAGCTACAAAGGGCTTTGGCTGTTCTGAGTACACAAGAACCACGTATACTTGCTGTACCAGCATGAATCACAATTAACAGCGTTCCTCAGTCCCCTCTTGCTCACATTACTGAGCAGTGGAGAGACCTAGTCCCAGTCCTATCTCCAAGTAAAACTCCTATATATAGCAAAGGAAGATGAGTGTGCATAAAGACAGTGACCTATATCACCCTAGCCTTCCATTGCTTAAGGCCACTGTTAAACTTGTGTTTGTTGTTACACGTATTTTCAAGTTCTGGTGATTTGGGAAAAAAAAAAAAAAGAGAGTTTGTAATTACTTGCCGAAAAGGGGTCTTAAATGAGAAAAATATATTATCAGTTGCTTAAGCATCAGTAATTTTATCTGAAAATACGTATGCCCACAGGATCCTCAGCAACACTCTGATTCTTTCCTTTCTGCAACAGTAGACAGAGCATATACACAACATTACCTTACATTAATTAATGAACACTCATTAGCTTACTAACCACAGTTAAAGTTAGTGCTTTACCTTTAATAATGTTCAAGCACTTATTCCGATACAGGCAGATGAGACAAGTGTATGAGAGAAGAAAAAAAGGCATCTTTACTCAAAAATATGTTGCCTTTCACAGCCCTTCTCCTTTCTGCTATAGTGCAAGAACATGCCTGTTGATTCTATGAGATAGCAAAATATTCAAAATATCGGAAATATGAAGACAAAAGCTGTAGCAATTTTCCCTTTCTCCACTTACCTACTTTTGAATGTCAGTCTGTGTTCAGGCAACAGCATAAACTGTTCTATCTAGTATATTTATTTGTGTTTTCCTAAACATAAAAATATGACACCTGCCTGAAATTTCCTATGATAGTCAGTGAGTACTATCAAATATTTTAACCAAAAAGAAACTGTTAACATTCAAAAAGAGAAAAAAAAAAGCATAAAGGCACAGTTTGGGTTTTTATATATATATATATATATACACACATGTAATATATATACACACATATAATTGTATCGCTCTGAAAAATTCCTGATGTTCTCAAAAGCTACAATTCAAATCCTCATTCTCTATCCTGCAGTTCATTCTTCTCCCCTAATAAAAATCCTCTTGCCTGACAGACCCCATCCATTGCCTTCTCCTGAACGGAAGCCACTCTCAGCCTACTCTTGACATGTTACTTATGGTATGTTTTCCAGAGAATTCAACAGGTGTATTCATAAGGACAAAATGAGCAGAAATGCCTCATTAAGTAAGTAGCAGTGATTTCTGAAGTGCAATGAGATCCAGGTTTTCTACTTCCATATTCCCACAGAGCAAGTATGTTATCTTTTATGGGTTACCTGAACTACCATATGGAAGCAAGAATCCTAATGTGACCCTTGAGGCCAGGTCTCCCAGATAGCACCATAAGGACTAGCTCTACTTCTTAGCTTTTATTGCCATCTCAACACATCCCAGGAGCTTAATAGCTGAAGATGTTCTTTCGCCAGGGCAACAATCCTGAAGCAAGCACCGAATAAAACAACGCTTTTTAAAAAGGCCTTTAAAATAACTTACACATGACAGCATTCCTCATAATACTATATGAACATGAAAACATGTCTTATTTGTATGATGTTTACATATACAACAACATGATTAACTGCAAACTTGTCTCTCATGTATAAGAGTGTGCACCTCCTACCATCATATCCTTTGGGGGATATATCCCTGGATTGCACCTTGGGAGCTATGGCTCTCTTGCCATAGGCATGGTTGTCATAACTGTTATATTCAAACGTAGTCTTAGAGTATTTCTCTAGTTCCTTGGCCAAGTTGGAGCGGGGTGTGGTGGTGGGGACATTGTTTCTGTAGCCATACTGAGGGATCTCCAATTGCTTAACAAAGCACATGGGCCTAGAAATTAAAGATATGTAAAGTTTGTTAGATGCAGTTCAGTTTACTGTGTCTGTGCATAATTTATAGTTCAGATTAGAAAATCTTAGTTATTTCTTGTACTCAAGAGACAGGAATATATTATTGCATTTGCTTAGTTTGGTTATTTTCAGCAGACAAACAATATATATTTTCTTGAACAAAGCCTAGACAAAATTACTTCTAATACCACTAAATGCACCCTGTAGCTAAAAGTATTTTAAAATTCTGTTTTAAAATACTTCAGGGTTTCCCTTTCCCCATGTAATTGCATCACATAGCAAACACTTTCTCTTTTGGGAGGTGAATTAAAGAGGGGCAAGCAGACTGACAGAAGAAGTTTGGAGTTTAAATGTCAAAAAGAAAAAATAGCACTGGAAGCTCCACTTAAAAGTAATGGAGTTTCCTCTGAATTTCTTTCAAGAGAGTTGTATGCTGTTTTCCTCTCTGCTTTCCAAAGGAGCTAGTCCTGTTTCATCCCTCAATATACAAATCCCATGATCTTGAGCAATACACCAGAGAGTCTCACAACCTCTGTTGACTTTGAGCTGCTGCCTCGCAGATCCTGCTTACCCTTAAATGCAAGGTTCTGGCAGGAGCTGCGATTCCTGATACACAGATACACACCTCAAGGAAGCTCCTGCGAATGAATATAGAATAAAACTGTATCAGCTAAACTTCTCTTTTGTTTAGGATCAGGGAGGACAGTCAGAAGAAGCCCTGACTGATCTCATTTGGCCATTGGAGAAACTTCTGAAATCTCAGTGAAAGAATGCTGTAGTGAAGTCCTCCACTGTCACGCTGTCTTCTGCATGTGGACACAGAAGTCATCAGCTCTCAAAGCAGGTAAATGAGGGTCAGATCCTGCAAACCTTACCTATATAAGAAAGCATCATACATCTGGGTTCTAGGAAGTAAATGCTACACAGTGCTGCATGTCTACCTACCGCATTTAGCAGGAGGTAAAGATGATGAACAGCACACCTGAGGTGCTGCTGCTGGAATCAAGAATCATATAATCAAGTCTTTTTTCTTTTTCTTTCTTTCTTTTTCTTTCTTTTTCTTTCTTTACTGTATTTATAACCGAGGAAAGGGAAGGAACATTCATAGGAACATAAATTCAGTCAAGACCAGAAGTATCATCATGCTGACTGACAAAATGGAATGTGATAAATAGTAAGAAATAGGTTTTGAATATTATGTTTTTCTGAATGAATTCATTTTCATAGAATTTAGTCACGATATTTATGTAAAGATCATCCCAGAAATCATATTAGTCATACTATTCCCTTTGACTTATGTGTGCTCGTTACTTTAGACACTTTTTTCTCACAAAATACAGTAGGCTCATTTATACAATGAGCTGATATGAATAATATTTTGATCCTGTCTCAAGATAATCTATATTTAGCTAAAAAAATGTAATTCAGATCCTGTACATCCAATGCAAATCCAAAATTTATGTGAAACAGAAATCCTATGAATTTGATTTCTTTTTAAGTAAGAAATTTTAAATGCAGGTGGGATGGAAACTGGGATGAAGACAAATATTCAAGATTTACTCTGTCTGCCCATCAGCTGCTGGCATGCAAATATTATAAATAGCTCCCAAGTTCTTCATCTTAAATACTTCAATGACTTAAAGGTAAAAGGGAAGCAGGAGACAAGATGAAAACATTATTTCAGTTGTCTATAAAATCTGAAACACAGGGCAGGCTCACAAGCAAAGTTAAGATTGCAGCGCAACTTCCTAGGGAGTTCGCCAGCAAACCAGATGCTGTGTTTGAGCCGTCAACTTCTTTGCACGGCATCTGACTTCAGTGGCTTCCCTCTAATGAGCAGTGGTAGAAGCCACTGCATTTTTGATCTGCCTTTTTCCATCAAGTGAGAAACTGTGTTATTCCCTCAAAGGGTGTTTTCTATTAACAGGTTTTGAAGAACCCTTCTCTAAGAAAAATGTCTGGGATGCTGTATGAAAAATTGTACAATCTGAATTAGGGATAATTAAGATAAAGCCCATGGAAAACAATCTGAGGAAGGAAAAAAAGTCAACAGATACAAGAAAAAGTTTTCTGTAGATGTGAAACATAATTCTGTCTTCTTAGTTCTATGGAAAGACTGGTTTTTGAAAAGACCATCAAGATTAGATGAAGTTTTAAGAGAATATTCAAAGAATGATGTTGATAATACAGTAGAAAACTTTCATTTTAAGCAGCCCTATCAGATTTCAAATCTAGAAGACAGCTAAATACTAAGAAACCTATGGGATAAGTAGGAAATTCTGGGAACTAAAGCAATGGCACTTCTTCCACACTCTTCAAGGCAGCTGAGAAGGATGTACCTATCCCAGCCCACAGATATCGCAGTATCCATGGAGAAATTCTGCAGCTCTTGGGGCATCATCAGCATAAGGCTGGTAGAATCATGCAGAAGTCTAGTTCCTTTACATGCATCCTTCACACTTCAGATCCTTAGAAATAATATTTTTTCCACTCATATATCTCAAAAGAGGAGGAAATAGCACAAGCTTTGGATAAATGCAGAATCCTACATGGATGAAGATTAGGGGCATAATTATGTCAAATTGGTTCAAGGTCCTTCCTGTATGAAAACTTAGGTCAATTTTCCTCTCTTTCCATACTTCCTGGCACTGAGTGGGGGAACAGAGACAAAGAACTAAGTCTGACCTTATTTTGGAATCTAAGCTATACCTGGCATTTTTCCAAGTGTCCTGCCAAAAGGTGTACTACCAGTTTGGTAATGTAAATAGGGCTTCTGGTTTAATTTAAACTGATATTTACTAGTAAAAGCCTGCTGAAAAAACCAAGACTTACCGGTAAATATTAGTTTATTCCCAAAAGATACCAACTTTTTTCACATTGTTCTTAGACTTTGCACTCCAGCAGTCATCTTTACACCAAACAATGCCTAAGACAAAAATGAGCTTTTCAGCTTTACATGTATTTGCCAAAATAATTACCAACCCTCCCCCATGTAAATTGAGTGGGAAACATACACTGTGAGAATTGGATCCAGAAGCCCTAATTCTACCTCTTCTTTAAAGGAGATATATATGTATATACAACATATATAAATATAAATTCTCAGATTAGGTGAATGTGTGATGAATTCTGCATAATAATAAGTATTATAGTGATTTCTAATACCTTAAAACCCGATCTGATGCCTGGTTTGATTTTGACACATCACAGTTCTGATGCTTCTCTTGAGCTTTAGCCAGTTTCTCTGCTGCAGCAATAGGACATCCAGAGAGGCTGCAATTACAGAAAGGAAATTTAATTGTCTTGTCCTGCGTAGTTTCACATTATAGCACTGATCCAACTACTCCTTCTCCTCCTTAGCCAGCATCAAGAAGAATCTGAAGGAAAAGAGCTTTTTGGTCATATGTATTTTTTCTAGAATAGACTTCCTTTCTTCTGCTTTCAAAGTTGCATGGTAGATCTTACATCTGCTCTTCTTCTCCGACCGTACATGGGTAGATTATTCATGGATGTCAGCCAGTGAACATACCAGTAGGAGCGGAGAATATAAACTGGAATCTACTGTGCAGCTCTGCTAGCAGACTTGTGACCTTTATGCATCTAGAAACGTTGCCAATAAAATGGCTCCTGAAGACGATTAAATGACAACACCATATAGGCCAAATCTTGCATTGCTTCACACCTCATTCAGCTCCATTAACTCCAATCTTTTTGCAAGGCATATAAATGAGTGCGAAATTTGGCCTTGGGTCTCTTAGTCTGAATCTCAACTGTGTTATACTTAGAGTTTGTTCATGAATTTCAGCTGTTAAAGTATGTTTTCTAATAGTAGATGATGTAACATGGAAAGAACTTCTGCACTTGAATTGAAATTCAATTAAATTTTCAAATGCTGAGCTATTATTGAAGTGACAATAATAAGCCTGATTCTTCTGGAAAAGATTTAGAACGGGGAAAAAAAATATATTGATGCCAGCAGATGGTGCTCTTAGTGAAGCTGTAAAAACCCGTGACCTGACAATGGAGGGGGTCCTTCCCTTGTCATACTCTATTGCGTGCTTATGTGACCGCAGCTCCCTGTGTTCTCCACAGGAAGAGAAATTAAAATGAAAGGCAAATCAGTGCATTCCCAGATGTTCCCTTCTCTACAGGAAATAAGTGGGGAAAAAAAAGAATTAAAAAAAAATGAAGCAGAGCAAAATGCCCCAAAAGCTGCAGAAAGAGGTGAGCACAGACTGCAGACTGCTCCCTCCAGCCCTCCTTCGCTGCCCTAGTTCTGCAGAGGGTGAGGGGGCTCTCTGCAGTTTTGCAGTCATGCCAGAGGGCAGCTGCAGTCCACTGACATGCTCTTCTTCAGACACCTCAAATATTCTAGCAGATATTCAACCAGAAGTGAATGCTGCTTCGAGCAGCAGTAATTCCCATAAAGCCTTCTCAGAGGTTTTTGCTGCACCTACTAGCAGCATCACTGCAGAGAAGAAAGGGGTACCAGAGCTTACTGCAGATGGGTTGGTACCCACAAGAGTCTTCCAGGAGACATGCAGTTAATATGAGGGGCTCTAGTAACCCAGAGTTTCGTAAGATTGAACGACCAGTACCTGTGTAGTCCCTTAAGCCTTCATGCTACAATTAACAGTAAAAAAGGAATTCAATAACAGGAACCTTGAATAGTTCCTTTTACCCTCTTATCCACGTTTCCTGGATTTTTTAAAATTGTAAAGAAATAAACAAGATCTTGCTGTTCTGTGGGAAAATAGTGACGTGTACTAAAAACTACAGTAACGTTTTGATAATTTTGTTGTTTGTTTGACAGATTTTAGTAGGCAATGGCATCTCTTCTATAAGAATCTATTACTAATCTTAGGACACTACAGAAAAGTGGCTTTTTCCCTTGACCTTTTGTTTGGCTAGAACATTTACATCTAACACTTCTGGCTTCTCAATTTTTAAATTTAATGAGACATTTTCACAGTGTTTCTTAAACAGGCAAAATTCTCATTCAGTTTTAGCTGAATAAAGACTTTAGGGTTGAGACTGTGGTCAGTAGGAAAGCTAATTCTTACACTGTCTGTGTACTTAAAATGCCATTTCTCATGTATTAAAACAATCATTTTAAGAGTAGAGTGGATTTTTTCATGCACTGTAAAATAATCCCTGTAGAGAGTGAAGCGTGCGAACAAGAACTCTGCCCTAGTCCTGCTGATGTTGGCAGGCTCTTCCTTCTCCCTGTGCCATACCCATAAGGAGTCATACCATTCGTTTTGTACCACTGCTGTTCAGCTAATATTGAAACAAAAAGAAAAAAAAATCCACCCAAAAAGCTAAAGGATGCTTAAGATGTCTTCTGTGGATCAATTCATTCATACTGAAGCAAATGCACACTCGCCCTCCTCAGAAAACACATGAATAAATGTTACTGTTTAAAATGGATAAAGCACACGAAGCACCATCTGTCAATCTTCAGAACAAAACAACGACACACGCGCTCACACCCCCCCGCCAATGGACTGCTAGAAGGGCCGCAGTTCGGAGGCACTGTTCCCTCTAGATTGGCGTCCAGCGACGGCATCCTTACCTTCGGTGGGAATTCCTGTTGCTATTTACGTGGCCCCGGCCTGTGCAGCCTGGTGTAGGACACTTAAGAACATTTTCATGCATGGCAAGAACTTGACAAGGAGAGTAAGAGAAAACAGCAGAGTATGAAAACAAGAAAAAAAAAATCAAATCCCAGTATATATGAAACCATTTTAAAACAAAGCAGGATTCATTAACAACCAGCATTCCTCAAAATACACGTGACACACATAGCCAATAAAGCCTGATGAGGGAAGTAAGTATTGTGACCCTATGCTCATTAACACAGGGCAACTGTGAAATTATGAGGGCTACAGAACCTATAAACAAATGCATCTCTGATGCAACAGTGAAGCAGAAGACTTCCAACATCATCTTCATACAAAAACACTGAGCAAAGATCAGCTCGACAGTAAAGTGTGAGCTAGCAAAGGTACAATACAAAATTACAGACTGGAAAAATTCTTTCAGAAAATGTATGCATTCCTAATGCATAGCTTTATACACACAGTATCAAACTCGAGAGCTGAAAATCTGCTCTCAAGCTATACTGGTAGAACACTGAATTATTTGAAACACACCTCAGTACAACCCTAAACAGAATTTAACCCTAACTATGACAGTCCAATTGAGCTAGGGGCCAGTTCTGCCAACTTCCACATAGATATATAACTCATATCTATAGGACAAGCAGAATTTAATTTTTACTTGTATTCTCTACAGATGTGAAAATTGCGATGGACAGAATTTTTTTTTCAGAAGACTAAAAACTAAAAATAAGCATTTAAAAACTTGAAGGATGGAGGAAAAAAAAAAGAAAATTGTAAAAAAGAAATAAGTGGTACAAGCTTAAGCAAGTAAACTGATTTACATCTGCATCCATTGCAAGCTGGATGGAAAACTTACTCCCAAGGCTGCTCAGAGCAGTACTCCTCTAAATCATAAAGCTCATGCTATGAAGTGCCAAATTACCAAGAACTTTTTAGTAACACTAAAGAGGTTTGTATGATACGAGACATATCTGAATCCATGTCTCAGAGCTGGATGGCAGAACATCCAGCCCTTGCAAAGTTCTGGTTTTCTCATACAAGAACTAGTCTGGAGGCCTGTATTTAGTTCTCACTCAAAAAAAGATCTAATAAAATCAGTGAATTCCTTGACTGAGTTAAGAACTGAATAAAAGCTGTCAGAGACTCGAGAATTTAACCACATATACTGATTAAAAGATAACCATCATCATCACCCCGTCATCAGTGTATTAAAACGTGTATAGATGCAAAAGCTTTACTCTGAAATTCCTACTATTCAAAGCTGTTCTTGAAACATGCTTCACAAGGCCAACATCACAGGAAAAAAATAAAAAGATGAGCTCACCTTTTTCATTTTAGTAGGTACAAGAGCATGCAAACAGTTTAAAGCTATATTCTTCTTTGATTTACAATGTCTTCTAAAGTGCCTTTTATTAACCATTTGTAAAAATGAGAGAACTTTGAGCAACTGAATAAATATGTGTGTTTCAGGAAATTACAGGGTCTTGCAAAGCAGAGAAATTACTCTATTTGTTGTATTGTATTCAGAGACCAACCAAGCTACGGCAAAGTTTCCTAAAGCGCTTCCTCATTGCTTAACTTCTGGAAGAAGCCACTACACCATGCATGGAGACTTTCTATGTCTGCCACTCTCGGTGTCCTAATCTGCTTCTGTTTTCCTATCCTTCAGAATCTACTTTCCTTTGGAAACGGGGGACTGTTTTAGCCCTGACTGTCTTTATAACATTTCCTTTAGGCTACTGTAAATCCATATAGGTTAAGTCTCTAAATGCTGACGGAGAGTGGGGATTTTAGGTCCATAGGCTTCAGTAGAATAACTCCATTTTAAAATTGGTGTGAAAGAGAACCGGATCTTAGCTAGACACTTTCCTGGTGTAAATTAGCATAGAGCAATTAGCTTCAACAGAACTATGCCAATTCCACCAGCCAAGGAGGTGACTTCCAGAAATGGAACCCTCTGCCTTCAGGTGAACATCCGTGAGCTGATATGGGCAAACCTCCTTGGCAGAGAATCCACTGACAGGAAATTCCACCCATGTGACTGACAGGGGAATATTATTCAAAATCCTGAGGTGTATAACTACGTAAACAGCCAAATCTTGATTTTTTAATAGTGTAAGTTAAACATAAGCTATGTTTAAGACACAACAACAACAAAGGAAAGGGTTTTCAAGTTTTTCAAGTACAATTATTCCTGTACAAGACAACAGGGACAGTTGATGTGACATCAGCACGTAGAAGTAAAAGCAGTGCACATCTGGAAACCTTCTTCTCTGTTGACTGAACATATCTACTTAAAAGTAACCTATTATTCTTAAAATCAAAGAATACAGCTTTAAAAGTTGTTCTTTTAGTGTAAAGTTAGTAGAAAATGGAAATGATGGAATAAAGAAAAAAGTATAACACAGAACAGTTGACTAAGTTGAGACAAACCATACTGAAAAATGAAATTAATTTTTCAAATAAAAGGTTTAAAAAGCATGCTAGAAAAATCTTTGTAGTTTTATCCCCAGTTTCCATGAAACAATGTGAACTTACTTTCTGGAGGGACCCTATCTTTGTGTGGGCATCCTGACAAACTGCGGTGATGGGGGTAAAGCCCCGTTACATGGCCAGTTCCATCACACCCAGGGGTAGGACATTTGCTCTCTTTCTTTTCTGTTCTTGAGGGATCTATAATTTACAACAAATGTGTCAAGTGAATGATGCTTTTCACATTTCTGTAAGAAGGTTCATTTAATCATGTCATTTACTCTTTGGTAAATGTTCTTATGAAAACTAGAAGAAAAAAAAAAACAAAAAAACCCTTCTACTTCTTAACACAGTTCTGTCACTTTTATCCCGTTGCCTTCTTTTCAGACTGCAGGCTCCTATGACCACAGCAATATCCATTCACAGTGATTGGAAAGTGACCTTTTTATAGCAAAGCCATACCACTGTCAATCAAGGTTCTGCTGGCAAGCATCCGCTCAAGGGTGTAAGGTCATTTGGAAACTGTTTAGTTGGAGTTTCCCTTCTTTACGTTCGTATTTGCCTGATGTACTAAGGTCTGCAAATGTACTGTTATAGAAGTTCAATGTCCTGAGAGTAGCAAACCCAGCTCTTTAGCATAATGATTCCACAATTCAGCACAAATAAATCCCTTTTCCAAAGCTCACTGAGGAGACGACTCTTGTTTTCTTTAAATTCCTTATGAAGTGATAGAAATTACGTAAATATTTCTTTCTCTTCAATAAATTATGGTGGGTAAACATTGTAAGCAGAATTACAGAAAGTATCACTTGCTGTGTAAATTTGGGGCATTACAAACATATATCTATAATGCTTGAATATTCATATGCTTAAAAGGTTAACGATCTTTTAGAATGTTTTTGGTTCTTCTACCTACAGATCGATGAAAAGTCCAAATAGACATTTTTTCAACAAAATAAAGTTTTCTGCCAATAATGTAGTGGAACTGCTGGTGAGATTAATCCTGAACTAGAAATTTCTCATGTACTTCATTAGCTTGTTTGCTTTAACAGAACATCTGTAAAATAACATCCCTATCCTTCCAGCCCAGCACATGATACAAATTACATCTTATCATCTTGACTACAGTTGCCAGATTTTGGAGACTACTGCTGATTTTCGTAATAGTATTAAAGGAATAATATTCAGGATGCTCTAATTGCTACCATTTTGTCTCAAGATCAACCAACATCCCTCTTCCATTTTTTTTTAGTCCAACCTCCTTTCAACACCTAATCTGAGCTATCCTCATGTAAGTATTTTACATTGCTCTTGTTATTAGTCTGCTTCAGCATTTATGCTTCCATCTCTGAAAAATAAGATTTTGCTACTTGTTTTCCATTCAGTCTTTCTTACATTAAATTCCATCCCAGCTTCAATAAATGCAGTCCTCAGTACAAGCAGTGGAAATTTCAGTACTTGCAGAACTTCACATAAAATCTATTTTTTTCAGCATGAATCAATACAATCCAGAGTTCACATTCAGTTGTGGACTTATTTTTCCTTGATTTCTCTCTGGTAGCTTTTTGAAATATATATATATATATATATACACATACACACACATTTTTACATTCAAATTCTTCCAAAACACCTTCATTTTAGAGAAATTCCTTAGCTCATTGTAATGACTTTCCAGATCTTAAACCCATTCTTAAATTTTAATATGATATTTAAATCCTGTCTTTTGCAAATGGAATCCCTAATTATGAAAGTTTTATTTTACTAAACCTGCACGTTGACTGTAGAACACCACTCTTTGTTTCATGCTCTTTAACAATAAACGCACATACAAATCTATCTCCAAAGTGCTATACAGTTATCACAACACTCCTGGAAATACCATAATCTTATACATCACGGAATTGAAGCAAAGAGATCAAGAAGTTAAACCCAAGGCCACAGAAGGAGCAAATGTCAGAGGAGGAATTTGGATTCCTGCCAGATAGGCCTGTGCTGAGACCACTAGAACAGCAAGCCCACAGCTACATACATACACAACTCTAAGCAACTCTTCATGTCAAGTACTTTGGGATGTGTAAAAGTATTAGATAAGTGAATAAGTAATGTAAATGAAATATAAATAATATAAATATAACAATATTCAAGGACTGCAAAAAATGTAGATGATTAATAGACCATAATGGCTTTTTAGAGACTTTAAACTAGAGGAACTTTAGCTACTCCATGTTGTCAAAACTCCACCAATGTCAATGAAGGTATCTCAATTTAGAGCAGCTGAGGATCTGCACACTTACATCCTACAGTGTCAAGCAAATCCTCCTCTGTATTCAAGTCTATGCTATAAAGTTATAGCATGTATCATATCCTTAAGAGCCTTTATGGTCTAATGACTCAGAAAAGATGCTGTATACTATTCTTAATGATTTTAAAACTTGCATAAAATTGTACTTGCACAATTTCCCATTGCTTTTAATGGAAGACATTTGACTAAACTTCTCACAACTTTATACAAAACACTGGATACTCTTCTGTAAATTATTTTCTGCTAATTGGGAGAAATGTTGCATTGTTTTATTTAATTCTGTAACCTTTCCTTGCTCCTTGCCACGATGGGAGTATTGCCTGAGTGAAGGTTGTCAGAGGACTCAAAAGGTTTTAAAGGTCATAAATTTCAGAAGAAAGCCTGTTTAAAAGGCTTTAAATGGCAGAGCAAAAAATGGTTAGTGGTCCCTTAACAGTTGGTCCAGCGATCTCTGAAAGCAGAACTCCTGAAGCCAGAAGGTAGTTCTCACTACAAACTTGTGTGCTCAAAAAGGTCCCACTTAACCATATCATGCATCTCTGTGGGTATCTCTTCTAGGAGTATTTGGAAGATAATATGTGAGTTGAGAACAAATCATATAAGCAATTGTCCTACTTAAAGTGTCCTCTCTCAACACCTACCAGAATGTCTCCTATGTTTTTTAAAGTGAGGAAGGAATAACTTTTTCTCTCTTCCTTTATTAAAAAAGGCGTGGAATGATCTACTCCACAAAGTTTCTTGGTCCAAACTGCCACAATATTCAGCCTCTGGCTGGAGTTTGGACTGATTATCAATTTAGCCTGCAGCTCCCAAGAAACAGGATGGTTCAAAGAAGCTCTAGAATTTACTGAAACAGGAAGTCCATACTTTTGTTACTGTCAGAAATTATGTATTCTTTTTGGAGACAACAGATCTATATGCATAAATACTTTCCCAAGCATACATAGAATGGAAGGGCTGGACAACACCGGAGTTAAAAAGCTCTTCAAAAATTAATAGTGGTTTGCCAGGTTTTCTGTGGTTTTATTAGCGACATATATTCAAAGGGAAATGTACTTAAAATAGGTCATACGTGAACAACATTTAGCACAACATCCACATGGCTATGCAGTAATACACTAACTAGATATTGTCTTCCTCAAATATCCAAAGTTACTACAGCACTCACTGGACTACAGGTATTTGTGTTTAAAACAAACAAAGCTTCACTAAAATACATCACAGAAGAGTGTTTGACACCAGTAATTTCCATGCTTTTCTAAAAGACTGGCCATTACTTTTCTTTAAGGCTTGTAAAAAAAAAAGATCAAAACTTTCTTGGACCAAGATGTTGTCTGCCTACCTGACTGTCACAGGCAGATCTTCGGGTAATACTCTTTCAAAACAGGGATTTATAAAAAGGAGACAAATGCCCATCATCTCAGTTGAACCCAGTCCTTGCTTAGCATCTCCCAAGAAATACCATGTCCTTAACTTCCACTAAAGTCAATGGGAATCAGGGGTGTTCAATGAGTTTCAGAAGTATTGAACACTTTATACGACACAGCCCTATATGTACAGATGTAGACACGTTCAAGAGGGGTGTGATAATATAAACACACCATCACCATGATAATCCCATAAATTAAAAGGCATTCTAAAGGTAACCTTTAGTCTGTTCTTTTTTTTTCTTTTTTTTTTCTTTTTTTTTTTTCTTTTTTTTTTGTATTGAATTACGGTCAAGGCAGCACCTTAACTGTTTCCACAATGGAATGAAACCAGTGAAGTGGAATGCACATAAGAAAGAAATTGCTATTGATCTCAGCCCAGGCCACACCATGCCTTGCATAGCAAATGGTTTCCATTACCTTACTATCTTAAGATAATTAATGTGCAGTCACTGCCCCTATCTTATGTTATCGGTCATTCTGATACTGTTCAATTTCTATCAGGCAATTCTACATTTTAGATGGGAGAGGCTTCATCAATAACTGTCATTTGATGATAATTTTATATATCACGATGCCACCTACCCAATCCAATCCGTAAAATATGCACTTCATAGCTGATTGACTACCTGCTACATAAAACCCCACTCTCCAATATAGTTTGCAATGTAATTATCTTCATTGTTTTTTAATTATTACTATGAAATATATTAAAAACTTGAGAAAAATCTTTGCCTCTTTCAACATGATCTCTTATTTGTTTTGTTTCCCTGAAAAGTTATTTTTTTAATTTAGCCAAATGATATTCACTGCAATACTGTACATATTTCTAACACTGCAGAATGTGATCTTTTATTTTATAATCACAGCATGATGCTATTTTACAATCATGCCATACTACTACAATTTAAATAGAGTTCCCGTTTTGTGAAATTAATAACCTCATTTCAAACATCTATGCAAAACTTAACACGTTAGCTCACACTTTCTCATGACATAACATACGGTATATAGAAATATTACCTTTACCATAATATGGCTTTTTGACATGGCCGTCACTGGGTTTAGGCTTCCTGTCATCTCCAGAAAGGTGTCTTGGAGACTGTTCCTCAAATGATCTCATATTATCCCTCCTTCCAGCTTCCACTGCCATTTTTTCTCTCATGGCTTTTGCTCTCTCAGTTTCCAAAGCAATTGCTTTCTCAAGCAGAGTTAAGTTACCTTTTGTCATATCAAATACTTCTTCAGACCTATCTGAAGTAATGGAGGTGGTATCATCGTCTCTTTCATGACAACCATCCTCCTTTGCACAGCTAGAAAAAGTCCTAGATCTGGGGCTCAACTGTTCTTCAAGCCTCATTAGGTTCATCATATCAGAGTAATTCCGGTCTGGTGTTCTTCCTTGGAAGTCATCTTCTTGCCTGACATGCTGACGAGTGTTCATGTTTTGCTGCTGATTTCTTTCCTGTGGGTTTGTCTCACTGAGTTTCCTAGCCAGATCAAAACACTGGTTCCTTAAGCACTCCAAACTGCTGAGACACACCTCTTCATCACTCTCCTCCACCATTTTTTCCGTAAGTCCATTGTTCACAGGCTTCCCTAGCATTACAAAGTTCATATTCCTATTATCTTGCTGTGAAGTATTGTCTGCATAATTTCTGTCATTAATGTTTTCTGAAAGCACTACACCATGTCCTTGTGCTAATAATTTAAGGGAGTCCACTGTTTCCCTAACAACGTCACTGTCTAAATCTAAACTCAGCTCACTTTTCCGACCAATATTTTCATTTTTGTCACTATCATCTTCCAGACTATTAGATGTATTGCTGTTCATTTCTGATTCTGTCCTGGCTCTGTATGCTGCATCCTCTGCAATTTTGCCAAGATTTAACAATGACTTGGCCACCAGTTCATCGTAATTATCATACTCATCATTATTGTTATCGTCTTTTTCTGTGTCTTGCATTATTCGAGTATTGTGACAATTCATTTGATGGTCTTCTGCATAAAAAACAGAAACAAAGAAAGAAACAAAGAAAGAAAGAAAAAAGGAAAAGAAAAGAAAAAAGTGGCTACAATTGGAACTGTTGTTGCAATCGCACGGACAGAAAACAAACTGCATGTCAAATATTGTTAATCACACAGCAATTCTATAACACTATGGCCCATGTGAAGTGAATTTCTCTATAGTCCATAAGGCTATTTTTGTTTATTTGCTATTCACATGAATTTCTTTCACAGAACGGATAAGTAAAAGGCAATCAAAATGCTAATTAGTACTACTGCTAAATATTATGGCATAAATACTTATGTTTCTCCTTTCACTTGCATATTTACAGTTTTATGGGGTTTATTACTCTCATATTACTAATATGACATAATTTCCTAGGTTTCCAACTTTTTTCACTCCTGTGTTTCCTGTAAATATGGTAGAAGGCAAAGGAGTGAGTACTACTGGATTTATTCTCTTACTGATGAACACCATTCACCACAAGAGAAAGAGTATACACCAAGCAGGAAATTGTCACTTTTTTAACACCATACACACCATTAACACTAGATAACCAATAACTATACGCAAAGATCAAAATAGCATTTTACTTAGTGGATCCATCAGTAGCAATCAAAATCTCTCAGTTTAACTATGCAAACTGTGGAGAAGTAAGAATTTAAAAAGAGTTGTTACATGAAAGGAACGACAGAAGCAATTATATGCACAATATAATTTTAAGATATGTTAGCCCAGATTATGTGGTCACACACATATGATAGGGCTGTTATCTACTGTCCTGTGTAATGTAACATTATGGTGCAGAGTTACCACATTTCACTTAGCTTTGTTTTAGTAGCTGTTGAATAATAGAAGAGCAACTCAATAAGATGGAGCCAATGTGAGGCCCTGAGGGTGAGATTCATCTCACCGAACTTTAGATACGATCAAGGCAGGCATCTACATCCAAGTAAGCCATTCAATGTACCCATCCTTAGTCAGTGAGAGAAGCAGACACTTTAAGGATACAGTCCACCTGATCTGGTTAAGATATCTTCTCGCGAATAAAATTGCTAATGACTAGAAGTGCCCGTTTCTCTTCATTGACAACAAAGAGGCTCGGAGTAGACGCCTACCTTAAAGATATCCATATTTGGTCAGATGAATATCATCCAGAGAGCATTTTCTGATATCTCATGTTCACTCAGAAGATATGTCATTCTTAGATCCATTCTTAAAACAGATATACAGTCATCACTATTTACTAATGAACGTCTCATAAATCAGATTTTGATAACCAGCTACTCAAGCAATTTTGCATCATGACTGGAAAAGGAAGTTCCTAAATCTGTCGTTACATTGACATGCTGGGCCAGTTTTTCAGCTGGTGCAAATTGAAAGAAACCAGTAGAGCTAGGACAATTAACACCTGCTCAAGAGCTAGTCCATCAACTTCTGATAGCATCTTTTCAGCTCAGATGTATTTTCAACACTGCTACACCTAAACATGCAGGATTTTCAAAAGTGTGACTTTTATGTTTAGGGTTAAACAAACCAAAGTGGTAAACTTCAGGTAGTAGGTGGCTCGTACACTAACATTTTCATGATAGGAAATAATTTTTGATAAAAAGAATCTTTATGTCAGTGGACAAGATAATAAATCAGAGTTTTAAATACAAAGCTCAACCGCACAATAAGTAATATTTCAGCCAAAAGATAGTATTCCTTCTACACAGTGGTTAGGGATCCTGGGATGATAGTAGGCTGTAGTTAAGCAGCAGAACTGGTAGATGACTAGGCTACATCTAGGGAAAAAATGCTTTAATGGTAAAATATTATATAATATATATTATCTACTTGGATAAAGTGGGAAGATAATTATAGGGAAGGATGGATGGTATTTTTACATGACAGGATATTCCAAGTCAATAGTGGGTTACCTATTTATTATCAAAGGTGGTTTTATTTTAGTTGCTGTTGTTCTGAAGATAATCATAATGGATATTTACACTTCAGGCCCTCAAAACTTAAGCATCAGATTTTCAGTGTAAAAGCAAGGAATGCCACTTACACTTCCGATTTGAAAAACTTCCATCTTGAACAACTGCATAGAAGTAGGCAGATAAGGATTACTGGATAGTTTGTGCTATTTGAAAAGTAAATGTTTGAATACACTAATAATAATTTTCTAAAGAGAAATGTACAAACAAATCTAGGCTAACTTTTAAAATGTAAAGAGTTTCAGGGTTTGTGTTTTTAAAAAAGGGGGTTTGTGTTTTTTACATGAATGAGAGTCACTAATGGGAGGAAGATGTATGTTAGACTTTGCCTCCACAACAGTGAAAAGTTAAAATATGAATCATGTGCTGTATGAGTGAAGATATGTAAATTCCTTTTGAGTAGGTGAAGCTGGGTGAAAGCTGTAACTATAATATTTTTTATTCTGTTTGTTTGACTATATCCTTTTTCGTTCTCCTGCCTGTTCAATCCTAAAAAGAAGAAGAAAAAAAGGTAGTGGAGGAGAAGTAAGTGCAAAGCACGAATCCCAGAAGTGAGGCAGGAAAACAAAATATTTTAATCAAGTTTAATTCCTCCTCTTTTAATTTTTGGCTTTTTCTTGCATCTACTTTCTTTAACAACTATTTTGCTCATGTTTCTTATCTCCATCCAGCAGTTAGTTTTAATGAAAAGGATATTTATGTAAACTATGCCATCTCCTCAATGACAGTTTGTTGGATGCTGAGCCTGCTCTAGTGAAGTACCTGTGTTGCCTGTTTATTGATAGTTTGTGTACTAGTTAAGGGTTTTCTGGAAAGTGTGCTAGCCTAGCAGCTCTACGTGAATCTAGGTGCCTTTTCTTTGATTCAGCTCTGTAAAATCTAACCTTGCTTTCATTTCACATTTCTACGCTTCCTAAGATTTAACCTTTAACTTGGTAACTACCTGTACACTGTGCTGTTTCATGGCTATTTGCTAAACGACTGCAAAGTGTATAGAACTAAAACACCTACTCTATCCCTTACGTAAGTTTTTTAACCACTGACCCAAATTGCAGGTTTTTTATTTGGCGAAGAGGCTGAGTTTGTCTCAAAAAGAAACAAGTTAGCCAGTTTAGCTGAAGAGTGGACAACATTACCATGCGTCCTTTTCTTTGTTAGCTTCGGGGCAGCAGGGACAAGGAATATGCAACACAATTAAAAAAGAATATCAGATTACTTTAGCCCTCATCCGCATAATATTATGACAATTCACGTATTTTTGATGGCAAAATTTGTTCTTTTTCACTCCCAGCAGATATAACAAATGATAGGAGGGAAATTACAGTGAAGAGTATGTGGAATAGCTATAAAGAGCTGGAAGCCTTTAGCCATCTCAACAGAAGTGCATTCTTGTATTGCACTAAAAAAGTGAATAATTTGATTTCTTATTGCACCTTTCATCCAAGGATCTCAAAGCACTTTACAAACATTATCTTAAAAAGCCTCACAACACCCCTGTGAGGTAGGTATTATAACCCCATTTTACAGATGGGAAATTGAGACACAGAGAACTTGAGTGACTCTTTCCATGTCATACCAGGAGTCACTGGAGAATAAGGACTACAGCCTCTACGTCCTTCATTGTTTCCTCCCTCTGTTCCTATCACATTCATATTTAAACAATTTTGGCAGAAGAAATGGCTTGCTGTTTTTAGTATAGGGAGTCATGCAAAACAGCACCTTCATTTTGAAAAGGAAAATATGCAGCATTTAGTTTGAGAGATTCTGCAGAGAGAGGCAATGATACTTCAGTAATAGCAGCTACATTCCTACCAAAGGCCAAGACTTTCCAGATCTGTTGTCCATGTATCGAATTCTCCCAAGCACGGGAAAACATGATGGCTAACAAGACGAACCTGTATGTGGTCACACAGGCTTCCTGCCCAGATGGATGGTTTCATTATCCAGGCAGTACTGCCTGTTTCAAAACACTTTACTGCTCTTGCTACTGTCACTTGTCAGTTCCTAAGTGCTCAGCATATGATGCTATTTTTCTCCCTGTAAGCTGTAAAGTGAGGTGCACGCATACATCTCCACATTGCAATCTATGAGAGCTGGCCTATGAGAAACATTTACACGACAATGTTGGCACAAATGAATCCCAAATCTTAGACCGTTACAGCAGCGTATGGGGCAGGAGGTTGTTTGTATGTTGTCATCTCCTCTAGGAAAATCTTACGAGTAAAGAATGTGAAGAGGTGAAAAACTTTAGTGAGCTCTCAACAACTTCTCCACTCCACACTGAAGAAATAGAGCACACGTGTAACTCTCCGAGGGCCTAAGCAAGGTGTCTAAAAGTCCGAACGCTCCTATTGACATGAGATTTGGATCACAGCCCAAGTCTTTGAATATGCCCATTTCAGGGACACACTGAACACTCACGTTCACTGTGGGCGATTCTTCCTTCATCTCTGCAAAAGTTCCTGAAGTTCTTCTACACTGTAAATACTTTAGGTAAAGACCCAAACAATTTGTTTTTACAGTAGTTGATTCTTTGATGGGCCTTACATTACCTAATGAAAGTCAAAAGAAAAAGATAACTGTTCCCTTATTTACTTGATGCACTTTAATTATTCCATTACATGTAATTTTTTTTTACTACTCCTCCTCAGCCTGCTACACCGACTTATAGTTATAATACTAGGATTTACTGTTTAGACTCTCCTACAATAATTATAGGATTCAACTAATAACCAATGCTCAAAATAAAAGAAGAGTAAAAGCCATTAGGCATGGCGAGGAAGGTCTGAGCTAAAGAACACAGCACATCACAGTAGGATTCAATATTATAAAGTAGGAGTGAGGACCACAGAGCAAGCCCATACAGACTTTTAAATATTGTACATAATTTGCTGGCTTACTGTGTCTTTTCTTCTTGGGTTTGTAGGTTTTTTTTTTTCCTATTACATTTTGATATTTAATTTTCTATGGATTCCACTTTTTATCTGGTTTTGCTCACCGGAAAATTAAGT